TATATATATATATATATGTATGCGATTTGTGAAAAAAGCAGAGGGGGGAATAATTTTGAAAACCTTTTTTTTCAGAGCATAGCTTTAAGTAACCTAATGTTAGTGTAATATGTTAACAAAGCAGATCATAAGCCCGTCTTTTTAGCAAGTACCTTAATGCACCTTAAGATAATGTGTCATGTCATGAAATGTTTTTAATAGGCCTAAGACTGAAACTGTAGGCTATTTAACGTGATCACAATTTAATAAAAACATTAGGCCGATTAATTTAATTTTAACGGTTATTCAAACAACGAATAAATTATACAGGAAAGTGAGCAAAGAATATTTACAGTATCAACGGAGCTTTTTGAAACTCCGAATCAGTTAAACCATTGCATGGCAAAAAGATTCACTATTTCGAAGCGCTCCAATCGGATCGCGTATCACAAATCATTTTATTCAGATCGGGACTTCAAAGCGCTTATCGCGAATCATTTGATTTGATGAAAATCACGCCCATTTTTCAAGAAACGAAACTTTCGTTTCGAGATGTAACGTTAGCTCTCTAGCTCTTTTGCTCAGCAGCTACTTTCATTGTGTGCGGAGCATATGAAACATGCTCTTAATCTGTGACTGAGGGTCAAATACACTATGACATTCCACGGTGACATGTGTGCTGATCTTTGAAAACGCACTCCTGCACTAGGTAAGACACAAATCTGAAGTACGCTTGCGTTTATAATCTGTGTCAGTTTAGCTTTAGCATGTCACACGAGGAAGATATCAGACTGCAGGTTCGTAGTTCGGGCATGACTATCATACATCTGGTCATATACAGCTAAAAACACTCGCACGGCCTCTTCATTCTTTTACGTAAACTTGTCTGAGCCGAATTAACTGTTAGCTTGCTTGTCAACATCAGTATTGCGTTGTCGAGTTTGTTTCGGGCTATTGGTTGTGCAGTTTTGCTGTTAAAATATTGGCTTATTATGTACAGAACGTGAAGTTAAGTTAAGTTGTCGATAGATGTATAAGTTTTGTTTGTTTCATAGGTTAGAAAATGGTTGGGAAATACAAGTTCGCCATTCAGACACGTCATAGCCTGACGTTATCAATAATAGCCTATAATGTTAAAAGAACAGCATATCATATATAGATAATATATTTCTATGCATATCCATATGCACGTGGTGATTACAATTTAATGGCTATATATTACTATAGTTTTATTTAGTGGTGGGTTTCTTCTTGCTCGGATTTTTCTCTTTTTGTTTTAATTTACAGAGAATTGAGCGACAGCGGCCTCTATCGGGGGACTTTGCCATATATGCGTTTACATTGTTTATTTTATTAAAGGGGTCATATGATGAAAGTTTTCCTTTCTCTTTGGAGTGTTACAAGCTGATTGTGCATAGATAAGATCTCTGAAGTTGCAAAGACTAAAGTCTCAAAACCAAAGAGATATTCTTTATCAAAGTTAAGACTCTGACACGCCCCCCTAAAACAGCTCATTCTAACACGCCCCCACATATCTACCTCACTATGTGGAAATATTTGCATAATCACGCCCAAAGAAAGAAGGCGTGGTTTCAGTAACCACAGTTAGTGTTGATGCCCTTCATTTCTATATTAATTTAGGTGAAATTATCTATTTTTATGTGTGTATTAATGCATGTACTTTTATTTGTTCTTTTGAGTATTTATGTTGCGAAAGGGTGATATTTCCACAGAAGTCATGAAAGACAGGCATTTACAGTGATTTCACCATAATTATGGAACAGTAGTTAGGCACAAGGTGAAGTGGAGGACAATTAATATTGTTTGGAATGGCTTGTTGCTTTTATAAAATGGCATCAACAGTAGTATAATAAAACACGGCAGTGTTCAATAAATTTCACTAATAATCACAACTATTCAATTCAATTCAAGTTTATTTGTATAGCGCTTTTCCCGATACAAATCGTTGCAAAGCAACTTTACAGCAAATTAAGTTTCTACAATATTTAGTGGTAGCTTATCAGTGGTGACTGTCAGTTAATGTACATATGGCAGAAATGTACGGAAAAATCTATTAAAGACGTAATCAAACAGAAGATGAACACTATTAACAGCAATTATTATATGATGCAATCAAACTTATAGCAAATGTGGTAGTTCTGTATGTTGTTTCAGGGTTGGCATCATCTGAGGTCCTCTGAGGGGTTGACATCATCTCTTCTCATGTGTTCTGGATCCAGACTGAAGCTTGTGTAAATCCTACATCCCGTGGCAAAAACAGAGAAACAAATAGAGACATAATTAGCGTAGCTGCTGTTCCAACCAAGCAAAATTGATTTGTTTAACCCAAACTAAAGAATAATAATGTGCATTTGATCAGATATAACTGCAGTACAAGATTATGAAATGCATTATTTGAATGCTTGGCCAAAGAGATGTGTCTTTAATCTAGATTTAAACAGAGAGTGTGTCTGAACCCCGAATGTTATCAGGAAGGCTATTCCAGAGTTTGGGAGCCAAATATGAAAAAGCTCGACCTCCTTTAGTGGACTTTGCTATCCTAGGTACTCCCAAAAGTCCAGAGTTTTGCGACCTTAGTGAGCGTGATGGAATTTAGCGTGGTAGAAGACCATTTAGGTACGCAGGAGCTAATCCATTAAGGGCCTTATAGGCAAGTAATAATATTTTGTAACTGATACGGAACTTACCCAGTCAGCAAATTTCCTTTGCCGCAGATTTGGCCCATATCAACAGCTAAAGTGTGGCCCAGATTAGTTTGTGTTCGCCGGCCCAAAACTGGTCCACATCTTTTTAGCCAGAACTGAACCTAAACAGTGCCATAACCCAACCCAGAGTGAGCCAAATAATAAAAATAGATATGGCTGATATATGGACCTTATATGGTATTCTTATATGGCTGAGTTCTGTTAAGGGCTGATGGCCCTTATGTGGCCCACATGTGGCTGATAAACCAAATGCCATTATTTAACCATATTTACACCACACCTATTTATTTATTTTTTTAAATACCCATTACACAGTAAATCTTAAACACCAAAATGTATTCACACTCATTTTTAAAATGTTTATTGTAGAATTTTAATAACAGAATTACAATACAGAACATAACAGAAGTGGGCTATTTTGCAAATGCCAGATGAGTGAATAAATGCAAAAAAATTGATACTTTTAGTAAGTCTCGCCAGTCTTTCTCACTCACAGTCTGTCAGGAAAAAGAAGAGTAAAAAGAACATTAGTATATCATAATTAGTATCACACATTAGATATTATTTCAAGACAAGCACATAAATTAGTGTAAATCAGCACTGCACACATTCTTTTCTATCACCCAAGACATTGAGGAAAATTTTAGCTACTTTAATAACAGGCTATTTTTAGACATAGTACTTAATTATATACATAATATTAATGAAAACATTAGTGTAATTGTATCTCAGTTTTGAAGTCACAGTTTCATACATTTTACAGCAGGGGGAGAAAACGTACAATTGCTTTTTTTTTTATAAACAGTGGTTTACTGAACAATTTATGGCTCTGCCTTTAAATAAATTCAATTATAATTAAAATTTTCTTAAGGATAAAAAATCTATCTTAGCTAATGCTATACAATAGGGAGCCCTATTAGAGCACATTACTAAAATGTTAAAGGCTGCATTTAACAACAGAGCCCAATCTATTAAATTAAATTAAATTTCTATTTATTTTTAGATACAGTAACCAACACTAAAAAAAAATAAATATGCAAACATATAAACTGCACATTTGCACATTGCGATTTTCTAGCAACAAGCTGTGGACACTGAATGACTTGCCTGCGGTAAAGGTAATGCTGTTTTAATGCTGAGATTACATGACATGAGCGTGTTTATTTCACGCTATAACCGGTTGTAACTAGTAGAAAAGAGTTTTAAAGGGAAGGGATGATGATATTTGGCTCACTCTGGGTTGGGTTATGGCACTGTTTAGGTTCAGTTCTGGCTAAAAAGATGTGGACCAGTTTTGGGCCGGCGAACACAAACTAATCTGGGCCACACTTTAGCTGTTGATATGATCCAGATCTGCGCCAAAGGGAATTTGCTGACTGGGTCGCTCTCCGCGCTTCCGCTTGCAGCGGTCTGTCACGCCACATCAAAGAGCGTCAAAACGGCATTTATGGATTTGATTTCCTGATAAAATATACATAATTTTAAAGATGAGACTTTGTTTCTTATCGAAAAGAACAAAACACAAACCTTATGATTACAGAATGTAATGTATAATAATGTATAGTGAAGATTTATTCACGGCTATGAATTGAAACGGATTAAGTTCCGCACGTGCAGTGGTTAAAATGACACTGTACTTGTTCGGTACAATTTTCAGTACGAATACGTGTACCATTACACCCCTAGAAAACATTTAAAACACCAAAACTGCACTTAACGGCATAAGAATGTGTCTGAGCAAAGGCTGTTGTTGTAAATAGGGAGCGTTTTCATCATCTTCTTCTTTTTTAACGGCGATTGAAAGAGGAAGCAGAGCGGGAAATAACGGATATATTTTCAAAATTTCAGTAATCCACCAATAGGAATAAGGGAAGACACAAAGCAACCAATAGCATTGTTGAATGGGCTGAGATGTGGACTGCCACTAACCTGCCAACAAGTTTATATGTGTTTTTCCAAATAAAAGCCAAATGTTAACCATAAGTTAACATATTCCATGGTGTGCCATAGCCAAGGCACATATGGCTCTCAGTTGTGTGCTATCATCTGGACCATATACCTCAAAAAAATTGTCATCCAAAAGAAAATTCCCTCCAATTCTAAATCCATGGCAAAACATATACGGTTAAAGTTTGGCCCATATGTGCTCAGCCATGCCATACCTAGGCCAAATGTGACAGCTATCAGCCATATTTGGCCCAAACGTTCATGCTATCTGGGTAATAGGTAGCCAGTGCAGAGACTATAAAATTGGGGTAATATGATCATATTTTCTTGACCTGGTAAGGACTCTAGCGGCTGCATTTTGGACTACCTGTAGCTTGTTTATTGAAGATGCAGGACAACCACCTAGCTTTAACTGAAGAAAGTTCTCGCACATCCAACTGTTAATTTCATCAATGCATTTGCAGAGGGAGTCAAAGGGGCTATAGTCATTTGGAGATAAGGCTAGGTAAATCTGGGTATCATCAGCATAGCTGTGATAGGCAATCACAATTTTTTGTTTATCTAAAGTCATTTTTGCTTATTAGTATGGTTGAACTGGATCAGCAAAGGTCAGCAGCAAAGACATTGGTTAATAAAATGACTAATTATTGGGATTAGATACATTTGTGTTATTTAACATATTTAATTATTGCAGGTTTGCGTCATATTCTGAGTTTGCATTTCACTGTTTTAATTCATTTTGATGAATACTAAATCTGTTTTTTGTGAGTGGGATGAATTAATGCACATTCACATTTAGTCTAGAACTATAGTAACATCATGTTCACACAGCGCACACAACTCCTCTGCACTTCCGATTTCTCCCAATATGGGGACAGGAGACTTGTCAGTCAATAAATGGGAAAACAAAGTAACTGGCGTTACTTTTTTGAAAAAGTAAGTTAGATATTTTCTTGTAAATTAAAAAAGTAATACGTTACTTTACTAGTTACTTGAAAAAAGTAATCTGCATGCATAATTATTATGCAAGTTGATA